GAGAGGCGGCTGGAACGCATGGGCCTGTGATTACATTATATCAGGCTGAAAGCCTGCCTGTGGGACACGGCCGTGTCTAATGACTCTTATGGTTTCAACACTACCGGCCACGAAGCCACAAAGCTGCTTAGAGCAGCTCCGTGTTATGGCAATTGGGAGGTATAGGGATGCATAGTGCAGAGTTTTTATTAAAGGCATTTTTTTCGAAATTCAAGGTCATTAACTTTTACTTCCCCAGCAGGGGTTATATAAACAGTACAAAGACACATTTCAGGCTTGTAGCCTACATAGACGTCTCCTGAGTACAGGAGACAAACAATTGAAGCTCAAACAATAAAATCTGATGAGACAGAGGTGCAAATAAAGATTATTGAGATCCAGGGTGGATCTGGAGGAGGGCTGAGCAAGCATGGGACCGAGCCAACGCAAACCCTGCCCACTCCACATTCATTTTGTGTTATCATAACACTTGTTTAGCTTGCGTATCACTTAGCAATGTGGTGGCATAACTCTAAAGCAGCTACCTAGCTATCATGTACAAATTTCAGCTGTATGGTCAACATTTAACATTTTTGGATATCTAGTGTACTCAGTGTAATTGATTTTTTTTAATGATTCATATGTTCATTGTTAATCATTTAAGCTCAATTTAAAATGTCCATGATAAATTAGCATGTTAAAGTAATGACTGAAGCTAAAGTCAGACATTCATTATGAGCTAGCTTAATATATAAATATAAACTTATCTGTGGACGCTGGATGCTTTTGACAGTCTAGTCTAGTTTGGTTGCAATACTGGTTGCAAGTCTAGTTTTAAGGTATATTTCAATGTCAAAATTTTCCAGAAACTGTCATTTTAGGACGTTTTTCATTCTGAATTCATTTTGGGATCTATTCCTTTGTTTCTAAGGGTATTTTTTTCACCATGACTTATAAGCCAAGTCAATAATAGTCAATAATGAAGTTGGCTACCTTTGTTGGCAACACATTGGTAGCCCAACTGTTTATAAAAGTCAAGTTAATAAAAATTAATACCCAGATAGCGAGCATATATTGGTCCACTGGCTTGATAAGGTCGGCACCCCGCTGACTGTTTGCCTCTTCTGGTCCATCCTCGGACCACCCAGGTCCTGCGTACAAGCTCTACCTAGTTTTAATCTCCTCAAACAGATTTTAAATGCACAGAGACTTTTATTTTAGAAAATAAACTATGACAAATATTACAAACAACTGAGAGACAAAAAATAATGGCCTAATGTAAAATGATTTTACAGAAAATGTTGTTGCTGACACTGCGCTAGATTAAAATTATTATGACTAAACTAATTTACAAAGTATAACTAAAGAAAGGAAGGAATGAAAATCAGTAAACTGGACTGTGAGGGAAAATGAGCGATGATAACTGGAATTTGGTCTGTTATTCTGCTTATCTGCTGGTGGGCAGCCCAGAAAACGCTGAGTAAAACAGCGAGCTTTGCCATCAGCGGGGCCACAGTATCCCACTATCCTCTTGCTATCAGGGTAATTATGTAAGCCACCTAGGCTTAACTAGCTAGATAATAGCTTTAGCTACAAAAAGGTAGCCCAAGCAACTCTAACTGTAACTGTAAGTACTAGGTTTACAGTTAACCCTAATAGTTAATCCCAGCAAACCCTGAAACTGCAGGTTCAGAACTGCTGCTGGCTTTGCAGATGCATGATGTTTAAAGACCCTGGAAACAGAGGAAGAGAAACAGATACTCTTGCCATGATGAGAGTTGCCCAGTCTCGGCTGATGTTACTTAGCAGGCTGCTCTCTCAGCTGAAATGATGCCAGGACGGCAGCTAGCGTGCCCTGCCGCAGAGTAAATACCCGTTATTGAAATGCGACATGACACCGCGGGCCCCTCCGCGCTTTATGAAAAGCGATGAGCCGAGCGGCCGGACAAAACAAGCCTCAGACTGTTTTCCTCAATTGACATTTATATCAGTCTCCTCTAATTGCAGCAGCAGAATGGCAGAAAGTACTAAGCCGTTATTTGGAACCGTTTTTCTTCTCCTTCCTCCTTCCCGATCAAGCCTGTAAACGTCTATGTCCAGGCAGTCCCCCAGAACGGCTGTGGTCTGGCAGCCGAGGCGTATCTCCAGATACGATCTGAGTGGAGAGGCGTTCAGGTGAAGAGAAGTTGCCAAGCCTGAAGAGCTTGTATGCTTAAGGGAGCGGCCAGATGGTTAGGGGGAAGGCGGGCCGGCACAAAAGAGGGGTTCAATCGGAGTGGCGAGGCGGCAGGCAGGCAGAGACATATTTATCCGTGTGGCATGCTCTCGTTCAAAGCGCCGGGCCTAATAAGCCCAGTAAGCCGAGGGTGAGGGAAGCGCTCCCTTTCTCTTCCTCAGCAGAGAGACTGTGTCAGAGCTGGCCCAAATTACGAGCAAACCAGGGGAAAAAGCACTGAGGCGCTGTCAGAAGCACCACGAGGAGCCAACTCCCGCATGCACTCACACATAAGCACGCATATACTGCTGTACAATCTCCCCGTCACTGCTGCAGGTCTGTTATGCAGGCCCGAGTGATGTATCAGCATGCATGCGTACACCTGGAACTAGGGAGGCAGCAGTCTGTCAGAGGGAAAATAAAGGCAGAGGCTTAGTGGAAGTAGCAGCACCACCACAGTTACAGCTAATAGGGCAAAGCTCAGGAGACTGGAGACCGGCCTTCAGCATTTTAACCCTTAAACGAACACCTCAGGTTGTTCGCAACCCATGACCTGACTTCCTTTAACAAAATATCTAATGTTTAATTAATGAAGCAATCATCAATTACAAAATGCAGTGATGCATTAGCATTTTCATGATGAGATAGTATATAGTATAGCTATGTATAGTTAAATTGTCCTACAGTAAGAAATTACAGTAAGAATCTTATAGACACCATTTGTATGGCTTCTTTCCCTTTACAAAGTGGTGTATGCGTGTGTGTGTGTGTGTGTGTGTGTGTGTGTATATATATATATATAAATACATACACACATAAGTATTGTTGATTTTCTAAGTGAAAATAAGTAAATAAACAAATAAGTATCAGTATAAGTATAAGTAAATCTACAGTCTACAGGGAACTGCACCTTTAATTAACTACTCTATATTTGCTGAATTTAATATAAAAATAAAATATAAAATGTGGCCTGTGCAAAATTTTATAGTTTGTTTTTTTTTTCCAGTATGTTAAACTCAGCAAATAAACAGAAAAATTATATTTAAGTGTGTGTCCTGTAGAGGAGGTGTTAACTTGTCGTAATTTGACTGTGGGTGTTTAAACTTTTTCATTCAGCTGTATGGAAAGGCTTCATAGTTTATCTTACCTTTGTTATTGTTAAGCTTCGTCCATTTTCATTGCCTTTTAAAAAACGTATTGATTCATTGTCAAAATAATCACCTACCCAATTACTAAAATAATCAGTGGTGATAGCGCCACTGTAAACACATCACATTTTGTTTCATTTGTTTGTTATTGGAAAACATAAAAGGACAATAAATCCATACATATTAAATTTTATTTCACATTTTTCCCTAATGGGCAGACTCATATGACTTGGCTGTGTTTTCTTTTTGTGAGCTTATTCAATTAGATATATTTTTTTGATTGTTTTTTTTGTCAAATATGGAAAATGATTTAGAAAGATTGTCATCTATGAGTGTGGACTTTTGCTCCTTTTTGATTCATGAGATGCTTCACTTTTTGGCAGAACACACATAAAATACTTCACCTTTTTTGACAGATTTTCAAACCAGCTCTAGATCTTTCATTAGGTTATTATTTTGTTGTTGTTAGGAATTGATTTTTACTATTTTGACAGTTTCATACTGTGCTTTTGAAAATAAAGGTGCCAAAAATGTGTTATTTAGACCAAAAAAGCCATCAGTGCTGCCCCACCCTGGACAGCTGTGTCTAATATTCAGATGTTCTTGAAAACCTTCATTAACTGAATCAGGTAATTGGTTGTGATTAATGATGGAGCTGAACTCTGCATGGAGGCAGACCACCAGAACCATGGTTGGGCCCCCTTACAATAGGTTGGCCATTAAAGAACCTTTCCACCATTTTTTAAACCTATATGAAGTATAAAGACCTTTTAAATAATGTTCTATTGTTTTCTAGAACCATACATCCAAGCCAAGAACCATTTAGGACCCTTCGTTTTGAAGAGCATATCAGGGCAGTCTGGCCACTGCCGCTACCTCATATGACCTCGGTTATTCTTTAACAGAGTCTGTGTTCTACAAGGGCCCGAGGCTGTAGATATATTAGAACCGGAGCTCCAGTGCCTCGCGAGCGGAATTCCAGACCAAATCACGCACTCACATGGAATTGTGGAATGCTCAGCTAATTTCGAAGCCTTTGGAAACGTTGCCATTTCGCTAATGAAGCTCCGTCAAGCCAAAGTCCTGACAAACATTGGGAAGTAGCGTAGCTCGGATTAATACGTCTCTCGCGTTCAAAAACAAATCATTGCGCGGCCCTGGGCTAAATAACTCCACTGAACAGAAGTAGTCAACAAACCATTAAAAATCTAAGTTTGTAATTGGATGTTACCAGTTCACAGAGATGTACGTAATTAGCATTCATTTGCTTCAAGTGTTTTGGGGGATTAGGAACAGTTGATCAGCCAATCAGGCGGTTTTTGGTTTGGGGCAAGAGTCTGTTGATGAGCTCTCGCTGTCAGCCTCAACACAGCCCTTCACTCTGCTGGAAAAAATGCAATTATTTCTCCTCTCACATCCATGTAATCAGTGCACTTTGCTATGTTGATACAGATTAATTCACACTGCTTACAGACTGGAGTCATCCGATTTTTATTCGCGCGCTTGTATAGAGGGTCTTTTGTCGACTCGTGTGAAGCTCCTTTCTGGGAAAATAGTCTTGTTATTTGTCATTTCCTCCTTATTCTTCTCATTTTAAGGCCATAGGCTTTTATAACAAGCGAACTCTAACACTCTTTCTTGTCTCGCTCTGATTCCAGTCTGCTCGCAGTTCTCCAGAGGGGTGTACGCCATCTTCGGCTTCTACGACAAGAAGTCCATGAACACGCTGACCTCCTTCTGCGGCGCCCTCCACACTTCCTTCGTCACACCCAGCTACCCCATCGACTCTGACGTCCAGTTCGTCATCCAGATGCGCCCGCCCCTGAAGGGGGCCGTCCTTAGTCTCCTGACCTATTATAGGTGGGAGAAGTTCGTGTACCTCTACGACACAGACAGAGGTAAGTGCTTCCCACCACCTGTAACGGCTCCACCCGTACTAGCCATAAAAGAACCACTCTTACGTGGATGGTTCTTTAAAGAAGATCTGAAAATGAGATATGAAAGTGTGAAAAAACTTTTAGTTCAAAGGATCTCAGCATAAAGCCTTTGTTAAGGAAGAAGCTGGAATTAATTTATTAATTTATAGAACAAAAGCATGACCACTTTATTTCCACACTTACAGTCAGAGTTTGAACACCCCCAGTTAATTTACATCTTTCATTGATCTTCTACAGGGAACACACTTAAATAAGGCATTTTAATTTACACGTAAATTTTAGTGTACAAATTGTATGCAGAGTTCAACATAGAATATAAAAAAAAAAAAATAGAATATAAAATGTGCCATTATTTTTGCGCAGGTCACATTTTATGTCTTTTTTCAATATATTACATTTAGCAAATAAACAGTAATGAAGTATGAGATGATATGCTTTGTTTGTAAATAATGGGTTAATTTATTTCACTTAGAAAATCAACAATACATGACTAGGGCGCCTATAACTGTATGTACTATTTACACATTAGCATCATCAGGCTGGTGCAAAATTTGGGGTGGGGGGGGTGGTTATGTCCCTTCCACTTTTTGAAATGAAGTGATCATCAACCTATTACTGCTCATTTTTTAGATAATTCTGATTTGTTTTAGATCATTTTAGACTTTTTTTTTTTTTTTTATAAAATTTACAACACCAGTCATATCACACTGTCACTGCGAGCGAAAACAGACCAGCTGTTGGAGTAAAGATGCGGCGTGCACACATCAAGTGGCTAAAAAAAAATCTGTCAGTGTGCAGCAGCGCTTAGCCAAGCAGCTAATCTAACAGCTAACTTCACTACCTTTTTTTTTTTTTGCATCACCATTATGGGATTATTGTCTGTAAAGACTGTAAATGGAGCCTTAGCTTCTCAGCAAACGTCTGCTGTCTGAAGCAGAACCTTCAGTTATCTAAAACAAAAACTTATATCCATCTATTACTAACATTTAGTTAATAGGCAGATGGCTTCGAGCTGCCATGTTTACAGTTATCTCGTACATTTGAACTCTAATTAAACCTAAAATAGACTGTTGTTTTTGTTTATAGTCAATAATGATGAAAAGATAGAAGCACTAACCTGCCCTGCTTGTATTTTACAAATGCCGTTGTATTTACCATGATCATGATCATTAGTTGATTTATGCCGTCACAGTTATTAATAGTCCTCCTTACTTTTGTGTAATTATCACCAAATCCATCATCATTAAATTATTTTGCTAAAATATTTATAACACAAATCAGACTAAGAATATCGGAATTTTTCCACAATGGAAAAAAAGAACTGCCAGTGTGATATGTATCAGAAAATGAACCAGAACATTCATGACATTATTATTTCTGATCATAATATTGTTTTTTTGTGCTTTAATACTGACATTAGATATCATGACAGTATGATAACACATTGTAGGCGTACTTTGTGCACCTAATCTTACTTTTACATTGCTGTATGTTGGCTGTCGCCTCATGCCGTTGGCCCCTCGGCCTGCCTAATCACATTTTGGCACTGACCAGTATTTACTGTACAATTACTTACAATGTTTCACAGGTTGTGTTGTGTTTGTTGTGCTGTTACTAGCAAAGCAGGCTTGACTGTACTCAAAGAACTGGCCTCAGTCCCTTTACTTGGTCAAGACCATGGGTTTCTATTGAGCCATTAGATAAGGCACAGAGGCCTTCTAAGCCTTTGCTTGCCAAAAGTCTTGCCAACGTGACCACCAAAAAGCAATGTGGAACATTCTGGCTTGCTTTGTCCAGTCCAGCCCCAATATGAGGGGTTTAGGAACACTGTGAGGAAATCATGGTAGATGCAGACGTCACTTCTGAAGTTACGTCTCCAGATGCGTTTGAACGATTACTTTGTCTTCCCTGTTACTGGTTAATAACATTAACCGCAACATAACAAGAATTTAAACTAGCTTGTGAATGACTGGAGGAGCTCCAGCTATGCTATAGTATTTCCAGCACTTTGACAGCTACACAACTCATGGATGACCTAAGGTCAGTTGAGCTTATTGTAAACGTTTCCTGAGGATAAGCCTCATTACAGTAAAGTAAGCAGACCTGTTTGTTGTTATGATAGCAACATATATTGCTTAATAGCGTTTTGCCAAACTCCATAATCTACAGTATCACAACAACCTCTGGAACACAATTATGGCACTAATATTGAGTATATTAATATGCAGTTCACCTACTGATTAAGAAACAATAAAAATGTCACAACTGGGTCTTATAATTTCCAAAACCTTTATTTAATTACAATAGGCCTACTTGTAGCTTAAAGGGAAATTCCACCAATTTTTAAAAAATTCCTGCATTATTTCTGTGGTTGAGATATAAACAGTCATTCACCTTGGTTTGATGTGAAATAGTTTAGTGTCGAGAAACTCCCAACTCCGGTTTCCTTACAGCCATGATGATCGGAAGGAGGGGTTTTCGATACAGTTCGATGCAAATATAGCCATTTTATTTACTAACTTCAACCAACAGTGACCCTACAAGCCTTCTGAGTTTATATATGTAATGTTGATAATGGTAACATAATGACTACAAGAAGTTTTCTTTTGGGGACTATTGACTTAGAACAGCCTTCATGTATCCCTCCACTGTGAATTGATTAAAATAAATTGGGTACAATATGTTTTAGATTTTTTTAAATATAATATGTTGTTTAGATGTCTAGTTCCTATCACCACCACTGTGAACAATTCTGACTCTGTAATTTTCTCTAGAACGAAGCTTTTCACACCAAACCGCTCTGAATGACTTTGTTGACATGTTAAGCATTTAATTATGCAGAAATTTTTGGAAATTGGTGGCATTCCCCTTTAAGTAAAAGGAATAGAATGAACCAGTTTTTGTGTTCTAACCGGTTTGGGAATGCCATGTTTGGATTGGAACTCCAGAATGGAAATGTTAAAACACTGGTTCTGCTCAGAAATAACTAATTAGTTAGGACAATGACCCAGATATACATATAACACCATTAAAAACATTGTGTAATATTATAATGACAGTGTATCTGTACTGACTTCAAGGTTTAAATCCATAGACTGTAATATCATCGTTACATGAAACACCAGATTTCACAAAAATACATCAGTATGTTCTGCGATATGAGAACACATGAACTTTACCCTTTACATTCAAGGGAACAAAACTCTCTGGGTGTGTTGTTTGTTTCTTCATCACTCAGAGGTTTTGAACCTTACCCCGCCCTCAGGAGACCTGGCCAGCACTTCGCCTGTCTCTCGAGACAGCAAAGAGAGCAGCAGAGATAACTCAGTCTGGTCCAATCTTCATAACATCTGCGCTGTCTCCCTGTGTCAACACCGCAGTCTGCGAAGTAGCTCAACCATCCCGCGCTGTTTAACCGGCCCTTCGCCCATGAAGGAAAACACCATCACTCTCCCTGCAAATTAAGCAATTCATTAAACTCAAGTGCTTTGGATGGAGAAACATGCCTTTCGAGGTACTGTTTTCCCTCATAGAGAATGCACTTAGAGCAGAGCACTCATAATTGTTTGGAATGTACTGGCACACCTGCGCTCACCGATGTACATTAGCGCTGAAGCACGTCGGCGCACTGGTGCTATTTGGCACAGTTGTATCCGAACATTCTAACCTGAGAAGCAAAAATAGCAGCCAGTCTCTGTGCTTACTGGAAACTTTATTAACGTTATGATAGTAATTGCTCATAATCTAATTGATTTTAAAACCCCCTGTCAACTCATTTTAGTGGTGTTCTTCCATTATCTATAGTTGTTTACATTTACGGCATTTGACAGACGCTCTTATCCAGAGCGACTTACAATTTCATCCTTTTTACACAGGTAGGTGAAGGTAGTGTTAGGAGTCTTGCCCGAGGACTCTTATTGGTAAAGCGTAGGGTGTTTGAACCCCAGCCTACAGCGTGGAAGGCAGAGATGTTACCCACTACACTACACCAACCACAGTTGTGATGTTTTTACTCTGAACTGCAGAAAGAACGCTGCTTGTCTTTGCTGTTGTTTCTTCTGTTCGCTCCGATTTGGGTGGGACTCTATTTGGTGCAGGTGACGTCAGATCTGCCAAAGTACATCTATGTACAAATATGTATATCACTGCTGTCAGAAGAACCTCTTATCTCCAGTTTTGTCTTTGCCGTTTGTTTTTGTCGTTTTTCAGTTTTTGACATAATTTGAAAATGCTTGTTGTCCTTTACGTTGTATGTAAATTTCATGAAGAATGGACCAAAAAAAACGGCCCAAAATTACTTGGAAAACAATTCTGGTTCCATTGACTTACATAAAAAGTGGATGTTTTTTCCTTCTCCTGTAAAGTTACCATTTTGGAGATACGAGGTTTTCTTCCCACAACAGTGATATGTTAGCTACTCACGTTCCTCTCCCACACTGAAAGTGAGTGCTCTCCCACTGCTCCCAGTCCCAGACAAAACTCCCAGCAAGCAGGTTATTTAAGCTCTTTTAAACTTGTTAGTGCTGCTTGTTATGAAGGTTTATTACGCTATTGTTCATAGCATAGCTAGACGCCACCTCCTACTTGCGTTAGCCACCAGTTGCAGGATACTATAAGCAATTAACTTCATTTACGAGAACGTGATAGCTTGCAGTTCACCTTAACGGTATTTATTAATGATACATTATTTTTGTATTATATTAGCTACACCCCCTATCACCAAGGCTGACAGTGTTTCCCTGTAATCATGCTTTACAGACACACTGCAAAAAAAGGTATCTTGTGAAGTTAAATTATTTTAAATGTAGTCAATAATAATAAATAATAAATAAATCTAATATTTTTCCTGTTGAAACTTGTTTCCAGCCTTTTTTTACTTGCTTTAAGTGATTTTATTAAGTAAGATTATCTCACTATATTGGCAGACAGTCTTGCTTGTGGTAAGAAATGAGCTTAAAACC